TCGTTCGGAATTAAAATCGATTACTTTTTAATCCGGGCGCGGATTGAACCGATTAAAACCGATTAAAACGGATTATGTTTTAATCGGTTTTAATCGACCATTTTCGGCAGGGCAGCATTAGACCATTCCTTCATCTGCCTCAACGATGGCTCCCCCACCTACCTATCTCGACCTAATCAGTCCAAGTCCGTCATCGACTTATCCTTTGCCTCTCCCCCACTATACTGTTTGTGCGAAACGAAAGTCCTTTCTGACCTTTACTTCAGCGATCATTTACCCATTTCTATTTCAATAAATTGTGCAGTCAAAAGACGTACCTTCTTCTCCCACAAAATCAAAATAAAAAAAGCAGATCAAATACAATTTGTATCGAACCTTACTCAAAACTATTCCTCTCTACTAGACGCTATCTCCAACTCTTCCTCCTCCATAGAAATATACGAAAATTTCATCTTACATATCATGACGCAACTTCCTCATCATTCCCGTCCCCGACACTCCAACCTTCAAAAACCTCTTCCCAAACGCTCTACTCTCCCTGCCCCATGGTGGGATGACGAATGCAAGACGGCCTCTTCTAATCACAAAACTGCCCTCAATTTATATAGAAAAAGCCCCTCCCTCCCCAATTACCTAAACTTGAAAAAATCGAAAGCAATAGCCAAACGCACTTTTCGATCAGCAAAGAGAAGGGGATGGAGAAATTTCTGTAGTACCTTAAACGAACACACTCCTACACAACACTTATGGAAAATGATAAAAAGGTTTAAATCTAGGCATCTGGGCCTGCCTTCCTTTCAAAACTATTCTAACTTCAAGATTCCCAAAGGAATAAAAGCATTAATTTCATCTCTCTGTCCTCCCTCCGCCCTTTGCAAACAATACTTTTCTCCCACAGACTTTCCTAACTCTGTATCCTGTAGTATGTTTGATAATCCTTTCTCTATTTTCGAACTCATCAGCCATATTAAAAACCTCAAAACAAAATCCTCTCCGGGAATGGATCGATTCCCTCACTTCCTGCCTTCTTAAACTTATGGAGAAATTCATCCACTCCCGTCTCGAATGGTGGATAGAAAAAAATAAGTTACTATCACCAAGACAATTCGGCTTCAGAAAAAGAAAATCCTGCCACGATAATCTTGGTATTCTACTCACTGACATCTATACAGGATTTGCCCTTAACCAACTTACAGCCTGCTTGTTTCTCGATATTGTCGGAGCCTTCGATAACGTCGTTCCAAACATCCTCATTGACGACTTAATTGAACTCGGTCTCCCTCCCAAACTTTGCCAATTCATATACAATTTCATTCATTTGAGGAAAATACGATTTATAATCAATGGGGAAATTTCCAACACGCTATTCTCCTATATAGGTGTCCCCCAAGGCTCAATTCTAAGCCCTCTTCTCTTTAACATTTACATCTCAAAATGCCAAAAAGTTCTCAATCAAAAATGTGAAATTCTTCAATTCGCCGATGACATTGTCATATTTTCCAGGTCCTCAAAAATCGACCAATCACTAAAGACTCTCGAACAAGCAGCAAACAAGCTCGCCTCTCACCTGGACTCTAAAGGACTTGCGATTTCTCCTTCCAAGTCAGCTCTAATTGTATTTTCCAGACGAAGAAAAAGTCCTCTCTCCTACTTAATCAACCTTCTGGACTCGGTGATCACATCATCTACGTCTCACAGATTTTTTGGTATTAAGGTGCGAATTCATGGAACGCTCGTTTTAGCGTTGCATGTGGTCACATGACTTCGACTCGACGCTAGCGTCAAGAAAAAAAGCTGGATTTTCTCAGCTTCAGCGTCAAGCCGTGCTGTTGATATGAATGAAAAGCTGGATTTCCTCAGCTTCAGCGTCAAGCCGTGCTGTTGGCCATATGAACGAGATTTTTTTTCCTGAATCGTGCTTCTTCCAAAATAATGACAGGAAAAAATGTGTGGTAAAATCCATGATTGTATCGTTCTATGAATATTGGATTTACCCAATAACGTTTTCTACGATAATTTCTTCTTTTCTGTTTTTGTAATTCATCATTTATCAGAACTGCTGCTAAAAGTTTCTTACATTGCCGATTTCGTTCTGATAATTTTTTCATACATTCGCTTAACCACATATTTAGTTCTGAATGACATGATTCACATACGATTATACATACGGTATTGACGCTATAAATTCGATACTAAACCCTTTTCATGCGTTTTTCACAATGTAGCGTCAACTTTAATTACGTGATCTATTTTGACGCTAAAAATGAGCGTCGAGCGTCAGTGTGAAAAGGCACCTTTATTCTAGACTCTAAACTTCATGGCAACCTACACACTGATTCACTCTCTAAAAAATGCACCAAGCTTCTAAATATCCTTAAATCACTACGCGATGTCTGGTGGGGAGCCAATCCCTGTTTACTCCTTAATATTTACAAATCTTTGATCAGAGGCTCAATAGAATACAGCTTTCCATACATTCGTACCAACAATTTCACCCACTTGGAAAAACTAGAAAAAATCCAAAGACATGCTATCCGTTTATGTCTCGGATTAAGACAATCGACCTCTTCGAATGTCCTACTCGCGGAATCTGGTACCGGTCCCCTTAGATTCAGACTCATCTACTTAGCTTCAAAATTTATACTTAAATGCTTTGTTTCTAATGACAACTTGGTTATTGACAAGCTTTTCGATCTCCAAATTAGCCTTACCAATAACAACAAGTTCGATATTTCGACCAATTTCATCCTATACAGAACATTCCTTAAACTTAAATCCTACAAATCCAAAATCGCTTCTTTTGACCTACTGCCTGTGTATAATCACGATTTTGAAACCATTCCCTCCACAACAGACATTCATATCACTTCTCCAGCTATTGTTGAGGAAATTAAACAGGCCCTCATCCCGCAAATAATATTCATGGCCACCTACAATTATCTTATCCACGGAAGGAAATGCTTCTACACGGACACCTCCAAAACCGACTCCCAGGACTATGTCGGATTTGCCTTCTACTCTCACTCTCCTCATACCAGTCGACAATATAGAATCGACGGATACGCCTCAATTTTCACAGGTGAAACCCTCGCTCTCCTTAAATGTCTCGACTTCATCCTCGAAAATAAAATTACGAATTCTTCTATTTTTACTGACTCCCGAAGCCTTGTCGAAATCCTACTTACGGCCAAACCCTTGAGAGACCTTAACTACCTAATTTTCGAAATCAAAGAGAGATCAGCCAAACTTTCAAACTTCAATATCTCTATAATCTGGATCCCTAGCCATTCAGGTATACTAGGGAACAAAACAGCTGACCTTCTCGCCAAAAGAGCCATCCGCACAGGAGAATTAGTCTCGAAACCCATACCACATAGCGATTTTTACTCCTTGGCTCGTATTCACTACATATCTTCTTCTAACCGTACTCTGACTGCTCAAGCAAATCTTAAAGGTAAACTTTATTTCAATCTGCATCCTTCCTTCTCTCCCCGTCCTTGGTTCATAAAGCTCGGCCTCGATCGAGAAGAAATAGTTACGGCTTGCCGCATTAGAAGCAACCATTACAATCTCCAAGCCAGTCTATTTCGTTATCACATTATATCTTCGCCTGCATGTGACTGTGGACATCCATCACAGGACATAGACCACACTTACCAAGATCACAGGCCTCACCTGCTCAAAAAACTAGAGGAAAAAATCAAGAAGCCTCCTCCTCCTGATGTCTTCAGGATTCTATCAATACCTTCTACTGGAATCATCTCATGCCTTGCCTCCTCCTTCAAAAAATGCAATCTGAACATTTGAAGCTATAACTTGATCCAATCCCTACAGAACTACTGTCTCCAACATACATCGACTTTGCCGTGTGGGCCAGTGTGGTCAGGCCCGGAGCCATTCAACAAAAGAAGAAGAAGAAGAAGAAGGACTCTACTAGCAACCACACATCAATGGGTTGTCCCTTTTTACTGCGCGCTTATACTCACGCGAATTGGTCGATCTTTTTTTGTTGGCACAATCTTTACCGAACACTCTGTATATACATATATGAGTTGACCTAAAAATGGCGGAACTAATCAGAGTAGAGAACAGTATCCGCTCCACTCTCCCTTTTCTTTCTTTCTGCATTTTCTGCTACAGCTGCAATAATGGCCGCGTTCAGCAGAGAAAACCGCTTAGTAGCAATCGAATGTGATTGGTTCTTACTTTTAGAACCAACGAATCAACGTCAAGTGTTGACAAGACTTTAACTGAGGGTGCGAACCCATGCAGCAGAATAGCGTAACGCGGAACGAGAGCGGAACCAATCACGAGCGTTCCGCAGTTTTTGCAACGTGGATTTCAAGTCCTTACATCCCCATGGAGCGTAATGAGCACACCGCGGATCAATGCGCAACCAATCACGAGTCATTATTTCAAAAGAGTTAAAACCGCATTAAAACTTATTTAACTTATTTAACATTTTTAATCAATATTTCCAATAAGAACGCATTCATTTCAATATTTATGTACACGACCGATAAAAACAATATTTAAAAGTCATTTTACAGACGTTCTGCTCGTTCTGCTTGCGCTCATTCCGCTCCATGGGGATGTAGGGACTTGAAATCCACGTAACGAAAATGACTACGTTTACACGTCACCCCTAATCGGGTTTAATAACATCCGTAGTTGTAAAACTGGCCAATCACAGCTATTCCTCTGAAGAATGGAATGACTGTGATTGGCCAGCCTTCGAACTACGGATGTTATTAAACCCGATTAGGGGTGACGTGTAAACGTAGTCATTTTCGTTACGTGGATTTCAAGTCCCTACATCCCCATGGAGCGGAATGAGCGATTGAAATTTGACCAATCAGGACAAGGAAATTTTAGATTTCTTTGTCCTGATTGGTCAAATTTCAATCTTCGATCTTCAATCTCAATCTTCAATGCGTAGTCTGATACGGGCTTTACGCTATTCCGCTGCATGGGTTCGCACCTTGAGCGCTTTCTCTGCTGAACGCGGCCAATGCACACTCAGAGAAAAAGATATTTATCAACATAGACATAACGTATGATTACGAATCTTGCGGAAATTGAGATTAAGCAGTTTACGAAATGAAAGCAGTAATACAACGAGTATCGAAAGCTTCAGTTTCAGGTAGTTTCTTCCAGGTTGGACATATTTTCTATTAAAAGTATATCAATGGACTCAACAGTTGAGCATCGTCTTGTCATTCGATTGCTACCCAATTGTTGAGTCCGCTGAATGCGCCCAATATGTATTCAATTAATTAGGCTTATATAAGTTTTTCATGTGTAATAAAAAGAAATTTGTATTGTAAGAAGTCTTTCGGGAAATATTTGCCATTTATGTGATACAAAAGGAGCTTTCCAGCAAGAAACACACAAACATAAAATCATATGATTAGCTGTCAAATAGAAAAATTGTAGGATTTTTAAAAATTCTTTATTTAATAACCAATTGCATGACATTGTGTGTGTTTTCTTGAGGGAAAGCTTCCAAATTAATACATTAATTTTATGAGTGTGTAATAGTATCATTCAACGATAAGACTCAAATATAATTTTTCAGTCGATGGAGAAGTTATTAGTAGTATTGGAAATGGACTATGTGTATTAATTGGTATAAAGAAAGGTGATGGAGCGGTAGATATGGAATACATGTAATAAAATAATATTATCAATTCATGTATACATGGATTGTGCATATAATTGAACATAAATTTTTATACCATAGAGTGAGAAAAATATTGAATACCAAACTTTTTGATGGCGACAAGGGTAAAAAATGGGGTGCCAGTGTAGCAGATAAGAAATATGAAATATTGTGCATTAGTCAGTTTACATTGTATCATGTTTTGAAAGGAAATAAGTTAAATTTTCATAAAGCTATGCCTGCACAAGAATCAGAACCCTTTTATATGAACTTTCTTGCCACATTGCGTAGAAAATATATACCAGAATTAATCAAAGGTAACGCTATGATAATTTAACACAAATGTGTAATTTATCTTATATTTTATGAAAGTATATACATGTGAATTAAATGTAAAAAAATTTTTTAAAACTTGTATTTAATGAACTTATATAGATGGTAAGTTTGGTGCAATGATGGAAGTTAGTATACAGAACAGTGGGCCAGTAACATTGGAAATAGAATCCTCAGATAGGTTAATTTGTAATGATGAAAAATTCAACAATACAGAAGACGAAAGTGTCTTTTAACCAAGCATCTATTAATGATTAAGCATTTATATGTATATATATGTTATAAAATAATTCAATAAACTCATATACATAAAGTGTAATACATAAGTGTTTATTTAACCTAATATAATTATAAACTAGTTTTTGTTTCAAATTTCAAGAAAAAAAAATTAAATTTCAAGTTTTTCTATAATATTAATAGATTAGATACTTATAGCATATTTATTTATAAAGCTTCTTATTTGTCATAAAAATCTGGAATGATAAAAGTAAATGAAATAATAAATTTTAATATTTTATAAAAATGTATTTTATTATTTTGTTTCAGATGCTAGTTGGTGAATTATAACTGCATTTTTAATGATCAACAATGGCAACTATTGAAAAAAAGAAGAGCATTGCGCAAAATAAGGATAGCAAATCAGAAGGGCGAGATGAAAAAGGTGTGCTGTATATTTATTTCAACATAAATGTATTGTTTAAAAAAATCATTTGACTTGATGTTTCGTAAGAAAAAAACAACTTTTTTTAGATGAGAAGATTGTAGAGCCTGATGCAAAGAATGCAGAAGACACATTCAAAATAAATAAACTAAATGTAGACATATCATGTACTTCTAAAAATGATATATTTATCAATCAACGACAGGTATAATAATTTTTTTTTATAGGATTTATGAGATCGCGTTATTAATATTCCTATAATCTTTATAATTTTAGTCATTAGAAAGTCAGACAGATTTTGAAGACATAGAAACTATGGAGCAGTTAAAAAATCAGTTGGGTATATTAATGAACCAATTGGTTACTCTGTCGGCGGAAAAGTCGAAAATGGAAGCAAATTTTCAAGCCGATAAGAAGCAATTGAGAAGCGATCGTGACGAAGTAAGATGAGAAATCTGACATCCATTATCGGGATTGTTCAACTGAACATTAATGTTTACAGTGTGAGAAAGTAATTAAAGATCTAAAGGAGAGACTGAAGAAGGCTCAAAATGTCAATCATTCCGAAATTGAACACGTAAAGTGCAAATTAATCATGGAGCGGCATGAGAGAGAGAAAGAACATGCCGATTTTGTCAAGAAGATAAAGTATGTTAATGATTTGACTTTTTGTTATTATGTAGAATTATATTATTTGCGTAATACTTGCAAAGAAGGAAAATTATTATCAGATAACACATTATTTTATGATAAAAAGTATAAAGTATATTCTTACAGAGAACTGCAAAAATTATTATATGATGAGCAGCGTAGCAAAGAACAATTAGAGGGGCAACTGAAGACGTATCTCGCGAATAAAACACAATGCAAGATTCTCGAAGCCGAGCTAGAGATCACCAAGACCAAACTTAAAATAGTATCTACAATTATAATTTATTAATTATAATTAAGTTCCAAAACAAACTAGAATTAAGCTCCTCCTTGCACTTTCTTCAATTCTTCTGCTCATTATCAAAAACAGAAGTTGTTCCAACTCTTCCAACTCTATTCTTGCCTGCTGTGTCTATAATATGAAAATATTATATAAGATTATTCTTATAACAGTATTAAATAGTAAATTTGATTTTGTTACAGTGAATTTAAGTAATACGCAAAAATTATATGACATGATTGTTTTATTGTAAAGCATTTTACTTACTGGTGCACTGTTATGAAATTCCATTTTGCTTTTTTCTACAATTACTATCATTGCTCCGTTTTTTTTCTTAACAGTTGCTTATTTCTCTTCCTCTAGTTATCTTTCTCCTCCTTTTTAAAGTTATTGTAATTCCATAATATATAATTATACAGGGTCCATTTTAAAAGAGCCAGTCAAATATCTCGAAAAATATGGAAGATACGGAAAAACGTTTCAGACAAAAGTTGTTTGGTTCGAAGGGGGACATAAGATGGTGCCATTGATGTATTCTTGGATAGTCATTTGAAAGTAGCACCCTCCCCTGCTTCTTTTTTCCCTACAAGCCGAGATGGCGATGATGAAGAAGCAACATTTGAATGCGATTCGTGAAGTTAATCCATCATCATATCTTATTTAGCATGTTATATATTTAATCATTGAATATAACAATCAATATGTTTTGACATAGGAGCAAAAAAGAGTCACTACTGCAGAGCAACAAGCAAGAAGATCGGCAATGATATACGAAGCAAGAGTGGCCTGTTTGGAGGCTCGATTAGCTGAACTCTCCGAAATTGTTGGGGGCTACGACAGACTGAGACAACAAGATCAATTAGCCATTCAAAAATTGAAGGACCAGTTAGCTATTTTGCAGAACACTGAGCACAGCGAAGCCGTAATGTCGAATAACCAGCCAGAGGAAATTATTTCCAAAATAAAGGCTATGTTTACTTACTTGTTGGATCTCGACAATCAGAAGAAAGATTCAACTTATGTAAAATGTAAATACCATTAATATATCGACAATAAGATTTGAAATAAGATTAGAATATCAGTAAATAATTTAATTACGCGTTTTATTTTTAGCATTGCTCAATACTTTAAATTTCCGAGATGAACATTACGATTACAAGGAGAAGTACGACACGCTTTTACAAGAATTTGAAGATTACAAGCATCAAATAATATACAAATATAACATATCGTCTAATATTACTCGTAGTGGTCAACAACAAAAACAGAATCTGTCTCTGACACATGATAAGGATCATGATAAGACTCAATTAAATCTCCTCAAAGTGCACAATAGTAATTTAGAGGAAAGAATACGTATGATTAGCAACGAAATGTTAAATAAAGAAAAAAGTTTGCAAGAGCGATTGGATCATCAACAAAAGGTGACTATATTAATAACAGTTAACTCAAAAATTCAAATTTATTTCTTAGCAAAGTTTTTCATATATTTAATTATTTTTTAAATTAGAATAATAATAAATCACGTTGTATACTTTTGTAGTTGCTTCAAGAAGAACGTTCAAAACTGGAGCATACATTGCATCAAAAAGAGATCGAATATCGTAATAAAATATCTACCCTGGAACAACAATTATTCCGACAAAGAGAGAGGTCTATGGCGCTCGTGGAGGAAAAAGATAAAGAAATATTAACTCTTAAAACATCATTTCGCGCATTATTACCTAACAATGAGACAGCTGCTGCGACGGAAACTAAGACACATCTAAATAGATACGAGAATACTGTCGAACCGGTTACTGATTTGGTAACAGGATTACTGACAAATGACAGTCCTCCGATACTGCATTACATTCAGGAATTGGCCAGGAAAGAGGTGCAAATATCGTTTTCGAGAAAAAAGATTTTGGAATTGGAAGCATCATTGAGAGAACAGCAAAGAGAAATACTTTATATGAAAGAGCAACAACAGAATGAAACTAAATCTTTGAAAGCACATATCATTAGGTAATTATTACAAACTAATAAAAAATAAAATATGTCAGAAAAATATCAATTTATAAAAATATTTTACTTAATTCGCAAACACAACTTAAAAAAGAATTATATTGCAGGTTGGAAGCATGCAAATCGAGAGAAGGTGCCAATCTGGAATACTTGAAGAATGTATTCATAAATTACTTAACGACGAATGATGCGTCCAGTAAACGGCATATATTAAATGCTATTTCAACAGTATTGCGTTTCACACCCGACGAACTTAGTAAAGTTAAGCATTAATATTAGGGATATTTTTATTATTAATATATATTTCTCTTCATAGAAAAAATAAAAACATAGTATCTACAATTATAATTTATTAATTATAATTAAGTTCCAAAACAAATTAGAATTAAGCTCCTCCTTGCACCTTCTTCAATTCATAAATTACGTAACGACGAATGATGCGTCCAGTAAACAGCACATGTTAAATGCTATTTCAACAGTATTGCGTTTCACACCCGACGAACTTAGTAAAGTTAAGCATTAATATTAGGGATATTTTTATTATCAATATATATATTTCTCTTTATTATAGTGTTTTGGAAAGCTCTCGACATAAGCTATAAGAATATGCAATAAAAAATGAGGGTTTCCATTTAAGAAATTGAAAGTGACCTTCATGTGACTTTCAAATGACTATCCAAGAATACATCAATGGCACCATCTTATGTCCCCCTTCGAACCAAACAACTTTTGTCTGAAACGTTTTTCCGTATCTTCCATATTTTTCGAGATATTTGACTGGCTCTTTTAAAATGGACCACCCTGTATATTTCTATAAATATATAATTATATATTTTACAGATCTATATGTCTTCTCCTTCTTGCGCGGTGCCCGGTTGGGCATTCGCGACTCGCGACTCCTCTACATATGTCTACGGTGTACGGCTTTTTCTAATGTTCCGCAAACATATGGAACCAAAGTTTAACGTCGGTTCTGAACAAGGGACATTCGGCAACGCGAAAATTCAAAAAAATCTGAGACTTTGCATAATTATAGAATAATAGATCCTAATAACAAAACAATTTTTTGTTGGTGCTAAAAAACGCTTTTAGGGGTGAAAACAACCCTTTAAAAAAATTGGTTTTTACATTTCGAAACGAATATCATCGAAACGAAAAATAATATGAAAAAATTCTTTAAACAAAAGTTTTATGGTTTCAAATATACTTTACAATTGCATATCTGGATTTTTCAAAAATTGTAAAATTTTTCAAAATGCCCCCACCACTCATTATTTTTTTGAAAAAATTTTCAAATTATATTAAAGCTTATGTTGCGCCAAATTCAACCATGTATGATAAAGTTATGTTGTGAAAATTAATTCTTGAGAAATAAAATAAAGACATGTCCACAGCACAGGTAGATCCTGAGCATGTACGCAGTATATCGCAAACGTAGATTGTGTATATCCCATTAATATTCGGAATACGGCCTAGTTTACACCGATATATTTTAAGGATCGGCAGGAGTGACGGCCAAACTCCTAAGGTTATATCTTAGAACATATATAAATGGAAGGGAAATAGCAGGCTGAAAAGTGTCGGAAGGAAGTGAGAAAGAAAATCGTAGTTGCCTCTCTCTTGTGAGTAACTACACAACAAGCCTCGTGTCTGTAGTATACATACTTTTGTGTACACACACATTAGGTTTGTTCTTTTCAGCTGCACTTTCTGTACTAGTTCAAGAAGTGTACACTGACGCGTTCTTTTTAGCAGAAATGACGTCAGAGGTGACTGTTCTTTTCAAAAGTGTAGCAGAACTTAGTACAACAGTTCACTGAACTGCCTGCCCCAGGTCTCGAGTTAGTGCAGCGGTACAGTTCAATTGCGTACGTAAACGAAAACAGTACAAACCGCAAAAATTCGAAAAATCAAAAATATATGTAAGTAACATGTAACTTAAAAGAGTAAATATAAAGAAAATATATGTTTGATATATATTTTTTTTTAACTTTTCTTAGCTATATTTGAACCTTTTGTAATATAAAAAGAGATTTACAAACAAATATGGAGAAAAGGGCTAGTGCATATATTAAAAGAGACGCAGCAGGAAATATTTTAGTTGATATAAATGGAAATATTACTTGTGAATCGAAAGGTATTAAAAATATCTATCTGAAAATGTCAATAGGTATTATTTATGTATAGGTATTATTATTTATGAAGATAAAAAGGTGTGTGTAAATATAATATAATATTTTTGCAGAAGGCGTAATATTTCAACTAAAATATAAAGATATAGATTTTAGTTGTAATACAGTGCAATGTACTGTTGAAGATCAATTAGTATTTATTAAACTACATCAAAATGTAAAACAAAACGAACAAACAAGTACAAATAACGAACAAAATAATAATGAAAATTATGGTCATGATGAAAATACTAATTATCAAAATTATACTGAAAATTATAATGAAAATTATAATGAAAATTATAATGAAAATAACACTGCTGGAACAGACCAAGATAAAAGAGAAATATTTTTTTGGGATGATGCAAAGACCAAATTGTTTTTACAATTGTACAAGGAAAAAAAGGATCTCTTGATAAATAGAAAAATTAAAACCAAGAAAGTGTTATGGCAAAAAATAAGAGAAAGTATGCAAAAATATGGACATAACGTGACGCTTCTACAAGTAGAAAATAAATATAAATCTTTAGAAAGATCTTACAAAAATATGATAACAAACAATAATAAAACAGGCAGAGGTCGCATATCATGTCCATACGAAACGTAAATATTATTTTTAGTTCAAGATTTATAAAGGAATAACATATAAAGTATAATATTGTCGTTGATTATATTTGCAGAGAGTTAAATGAACTTATGGGTCATAAGCATAACATTCAACCATTGGCAGTATCTGGAAAGCAAGGATTACTTCTAAGAGATGACATCCGAATTGCACATCTTTGTAAGTTCTATATCAGAATCAGAAATAATATTACTTGGATAGAAGTATTACTTGGAAAAGAAATATTAAAAAATTTCTATACATATTAGATATATCTATACATAATATATATTAATTATAATATCTATTATTACCTTAATGATATAACGAATGAAATATTTATATAGCATAACATTATCTATTGTATATATATTACAGACCTATCTGTGATATAAATAATCAAAGTGTGGGTGCGGGAGGGAGGTCAAATGTCCCCCTTGCACCCCCCCGTGTGTGTGTGTGTGTGTGCGCGCGCGTGCTTCCTGTCCGTGCATGTACTTTGGTATATTTCAAACTTTTTTTGTTAATAACTTTTTAATAAGCAACAAGCGACGAGTAAATTAGAAGAAAAAGTTACCCAGGATTATGTCCTTGACAACATATGTCAAGATCAAGGTTATTGGGGCTGGGTCCCCTATTCACTATATTTACCCGGATATGTGTTCCATTTTCATGTTCTTGTGCTGCTTCCTCAAAATTAATATATAAGTTTTGTGCTTCCATGTCAGCATACTGATCATTCCGGACACGATCGCGAAGAATGTTGGTTATTACACGGACGACCCAATAGAGATCAATCGAGCCGAACCAAACAATATAATTCGCGACCGGAAAATAAAAATCGCAAAAGCAACGAGTAAGCAGAAAGGAGATCTAACACTGCGCACAGCAGTGACGAGGAAGACAAGGAAGAAACGAAGCAGCGACGACCCGCAATCGAATATCGCGTTACACACGTGAAGCGTGCCCCGCAAACGCATACAGGACTAGACTTAGTCGCTTTACCTATGCAAGAATCGAAAAAAGGAAAAATAAATTTATTGTTCGACACGGGAGCCGCTATATCACTAATTAAAAGGATACTGATCATTCATAGGTGCTTCAAGATATTGCAAATCTTCAGTATTTGCTATATTATGAAGTACGCAACAGGCATGTATTATGCGTACCATACGTACTATATCGCGCAATTTAAAATGATACAATTGTCGAAAACGTTGCTTCAAACACTCAAATGCATTTTCAATTATTACCCTACAGGAACTTAGTCTTTGATTAAAAAGTTTCTGCAATTAAGACTCAGTTGTTAAAAACAAATATACGATTTCTCCGCAGAGGGTCCGCCTTATATCCCCGCTTGACCGCTTTCTACTTCCAGGTTGGCTCGCTCGACCTTCGCCGCGTAGCGGCGACGCCCGGAACTACGCGCGGACGCGCGAGCGCGTGGACTGCCAAAGTTGCGGGTCGCACTATTGTATCGCGGATTGTGCTTAATGTGACGACCTATGGCAGCCACAATATCCATTCGATTATTCGTGTTTATTTGGATTGACAACAATATGGATTAGAATGTAATGATTTTAGATTGGAAATAATCCGCGAAAGCGATATTAAAACCGATTATAGTTCGTTCGGAATTAAAATCGATTACTTTTTAATCCGGGCGCGGATTGAACCGATTAAAACCGATTAAAATGGATTATGTTTTAATCGGTTTTAATCGACCATTTTCGGCAGGGAACCTAACCTGCACCCAATTCATGTAGGTCATTACGCAATGATGAATTTTTGAAAACCCTTGCGTCGTGGACCAGGGTATCCTATAAAGACATCGATAAACTTCATTTTATGATCCACTGTACCTTAAATATGTAAGGAAAAGTATTGCTTTCGGTTAATATATGATTCTGGATCTTCTGTTGGCTTATCTATCCTTATATGTGAACCATCAATAGCCTCTGAAAAGAAAAGAAACATTAGTGTATAATGTTTTACATATATAAATATGAACATGATTACATTACCAATTATACGAGGAAATCCTTTTTTTTCTCGATAAAATGTTGCAGTTTCTTCCTTTTCAGCTAACGTTGAATATTTAATGATATTAGGTGCTAGTAACATTATAAAATTTGTTACTCTGGTTATTATATTGTACAAAGTACTTATTGTTACTCCGAATCGATCAGTTACATCACGATAAGATGCACTCTCGTGTCCTACAAACCATAGGTAACATAATATATGTTTTTCAGCTGTTATGTTAGCACGCCCAGCATCATCTAAATATAAAATAAAATGTCAATTCCCTTCATGTTGAAAATAAGACATTTTTGTTATTACATACACACAAAGTATATTTTATATACAATTACATACAAAACATATCTTGTAAAGAAATAAATATCTCAGATATTCTGTATATCTTATGAGCTTTTTCCTTTTCATTGTTAAAATAACATATCTATGTTACAAAAGATAGAAATAGAATTATAATAATAAAACGCAGTTGTTTTTTAAACTTTATTGATGAGATAGTAGATGACACAATTCATCGCGGATATTCAAACTTTTTTTGTTAATAACTTTTTAATAAGCAACAAGCGACGAGTAAATTAGAAGAAAAAGTTACCCAGGCAACCGTTACATTACATGTTATTCCCATGTTATATAGCAGTTATATTCTGTGTTTGCTGGGAATCGATTTATTAGTTCGTATGCCTTTTCTCTTGACAATCGAAAATGCATAATAAATCAATGTCGTTATAGTTGCGAACAATATTTTCTACGTAATTATGTATTTTTACATGTTCTATTCTTTGAACCATTCCAAAAACTGGATGAAGTATTTGTAACTCGTTATAAACTAAAATACAATTATTAGGTTAGATTTTTATCTGCCTGAGATTTTTATCTTGTTAACATTAATTAATTTTGTCACATGAAATAATAGTAATTACCATCATCCTCTTCATCTCAAATAGGTTCTGCATACAATAATGGTGTTGATAGAACAATATCTTCTTCATCTGATGAATCAATGTTTGGAATTATGTGTTGCGCCATGTTGATTCCTGCACTGTGGCGTTCTTTCCTTCCCTATCTGTATTCCTGTACTTATGAAATTTTCACTATCCTCGTCAGTTCTAGTTCAGAACTAGTGCAGTTCCAGTGCAGCTGAAAAGAACAAACCTATTGTGACTAATTGGGCCAAACTAGTAAGCCGTGCATGCGCACTTTTGAGCAGTTACTCATAAGAGAGAGGTAACTATGATTTTCTTTCCCACTTCCTTCCGACATGTTTTTTTATCGGGAAACAAAGGCATTCCCTTTCCAATTATATATATTCTAAGGGTTATATATAAGAAGGTTAAGTCACGAGCATCCAAAAACCCATAATGCATTGCAAAGAATCAACGTGTGCGCGGTCGCTATTGAAAAAAGATGCTAAATATTGAAAAGAGATGCCAAATAAGGTAGACTTGTTATTGGCTCTCACGGCCTTTCGCAATGCATCATGGGTTCTTGCATACACAGTTTCAATATATGACTTAACCTTCTTTTACTTCTTCTTCTCTTCTTCTCTGATATGGCTGGGACTTTCCGAAAGGAATTGTCTATACATTAACTAGGTAGGTATGGGGGTATTATATAGGATAATATATGATAAATTAGGAATTATATAGGATAATGTATGAAAATCTCTTTTTGAGTCATATGGAAGAATGGGGACCCGAGCGGAATCGAACCTGGAATCTCTCAATTACCAGCCTGCGACCCTACGCCCGGCGCCACGCATCGCCCCCTAACCTTCTTTTATATAACCTTACCATAGATATATAGACTGGATTGAGCATAGACATAGTATAGACCGAGTGTTGAGGAGTGGGAGCCGAGGTGCACGTAGAAAAGGACATACTCTGTTTCGTGCCCCTTGCGTTCTCTCTCGCTCGCACGTAGCATGACGAAAGAGAGCGCTATGCTATGTGCGAGCAAGAGAGAACGCAAGGGACACGAAACAAAGTATGTCCTTTTCTACGTGCATCTTTACCCCCACTCCTTAAATAAAGGCAAACGCTCGGTCTAGATATACTATGTCTATGAAGGAAACAATAGGAGCGACAATTTTATAGGATGAAAATTTTAAAAGCTCAAAAATATCATAGGGGGGGAGGAACTGCAAGCCCTCGCTCGACGGCAGAGAGGAGCGAGCCACGTTGTGCGGAGAGCAGCGGACAGGACCAAAGGACGTGACCAATATCTTGTTGTGGAGCCCCGCAATCGCATGCGGGAGAGTCCACAATGTTGCATCTAGAAAGACTATACCCAGTGAGCATTATTGAGAGGATGAGCTCTTTAAGAGGACTTTTTAAAGACTTAATTAAATTTTCTTAGAAATGATATCAGTAAGTTATCTTTTTGTAAGATATCTTTCAGAAAAGCTCTTTATGATATCTCTTCATAGATATCTCTAAAGTCTTTAGCAAGCGTGCCATTTAAGATATTTTACGAACGCTGTATACATGCGCAAGCAACGTGTTCTAGTGTGAACTGCGTGCCATTGCGTGCTCTGGATTTCAAAGAGAGATAGCATTTCTTCAATATTAACGTTTTTAAGATAATCTTTCTTTCTTAAATCATAAATATTATTAAATATGTATTTGAGCATAAAATAGATTAATATTTTCATATATATTTTTGTTATTTCTATATCCAACCTAAGAAGTTGGGTTATGTCTTCAAAAAATGTAAAGGGCGTTTTTTAATTCATCGATTGATCAATCGCAT